TTTGTATCCATTATTTACAAATTAGCTAATATAGCGCCATAAATATCATTGATGTAACTGCAAGGCCGTAGTTTGCTAGACGACGCTAGTTAAAATGGCGTATATGGGAAATTGGCACGCGCACGATACGTGTATTTCACTGGCTTCTCACGCAATGAAGGATCACAGAGTTTCGGAAACGGTGAGTGAGGGGAAGGGGGGGGGGGAAGCTTTCGGCACTAATTGCATCTGACAGACGACAGCTTTGTATTCTAGTATTAAGGACACATTTTATTTCGTTGCTTTTTTGCTTGAAATAGCATGCTAATATTTGTTCTCGTGCCCTTCCAAAATATACCCCAAACACATACATTTTCAGATTCAGGTAGACACATGCATACTCATTCAAAATTTCAATAAGCATATTAAAGAAAAAATATTTTGAAGAATTATTGCAGATCTGCACTGGCGGTGACAGTAGTGTGGTTACCATATTGAACACATTCCAGTTCAAATCCAAGTTCCTAAAAAACATTTTTGCTGTTTGAGATAACTGACGGACATAATTTGGGTCAATGACAGTTTCCCCAAGTGAAGTAATAAATCAAAGGCCAATACAATGTACCTAATTGAGTTAAAATGTTTAAAATTGTCGGACGGGTTCAACTTGTATGTATGTACTCGTATGAGAGGAAGTAACAAGTGGTCTACAGAATGGCATACAATTGTCATACTGGCGAGCAAATGTGTATAACTGGTATGGCAGCCGCAATACCAAAGAAACACAGACGATGAAAAGGCGCCCTAAAAGCAAAAAATTGTCGATCCTTTGTGATGAAAGAACTTTTTGCGGTATGTTTATTTAAGAAAATGTAGATAATAAAAAAACATAATTGTAATATTATTCTGAAATCCGCATTTAAATTATATTTCAATGCAACTTTATATCAGTTGTATCTATTTAAAGTAATGTAATAATTTTAAAGTTATGGTGCTACTGAAGGGCGCAACCTTTCTCGCACAAGTTAATTTTCTCATCATTTTAATACTAGCTAGCTTTACGGTTTTGCCTCATCCTCTTCCCAGCTGTCATCTGTTGCCACCTCAATATTTTTTCACAATTTCTCATTTTTTCGACCACTTTACAGTCTTTTTGAAGTATTACTTATGAATGTTGTAGAAGAGTAAAACCTAGCCTGATCATACAAGCTAACTTTCGTTATAACCTTTGCAGCTGTTTTTGAGAAAATGTCGTTTGAGCGTTTCTGAATCATTTGTGCTCATTTTTACAGACAATTTTTTTAATTTTTTGAACAACTTTATTGGAAATTATTTAAATAACTTCGGCTTACAAATGCAATAATATATAAATAAAGTTTGTAATATAAATAATAACAATTGGAGAAATATTTAAAATAATATATTTGTAAATTTTTTGTAAAAACAAATGAAAATTGCAAAATGTCGTTTTCACGTGATGCAGTGCATTTAGCACTATATATACAAAAGTTTTAAGACAATTTCTGGAGCCGATTGAGAGAAAATTTGGTTCATATATTTTTTAATATTACCTATATTTCAGTCAAAATTACGCAAAATATTCTATAACTTTCCAAACTTTTCACTTTGTAGCAATTAGAGAAATAATTATGGAAAACAATTTTTATTTGAAGAAAAATATCCATATTCAATACTGTAGTTTTACGAGACGCTGAAAAAATAAAACTTTACTAATTTTCGTGCTAACAGTGAAAATCAGACCTTTTTCATCTTTAAAAATGTATTTCACTCTATGCTTACAACAAATTTAAAGAAACAATTTGGAGTCACTTTTGAGAAAATTTGCAAAAAGACCCAGAATCTTCATGTAGAAAGATGTGCCCCAAAAATTTGAAGAATGTTTTACAAAATCGGAGGACTTTGAGTTGAGCTGTATCGACAGGGAAATATTTATTTTGAAAAATGCCTGCGAGTAGTTAAGGTTCTAGTGTTGGTCTCGGAAGGACAGACGTAGAGACAGGTGGATGTTTTGAAATAAATCACTTTTCCTGTATCAGGGGATCACAAAACGTGTATTTCCGATGAAATCTCGAAAACGATTTCCCGCAACATTACATAATGTTCTCTATACTAAGCTTATTGATTACTCAGTATATACGTAGTACGTATGAGAAAGTAAAAATTCTGTTGTAGGCGTTCCATGGCAGCCCTTAGACCTGTAGGAAGTCCATGCATTCTGAAAGAAACATAATGGTCGTTTGCCGATTGGTTGATCTCTTTGAAACTGCGTTTATAGAAACTCCCAACACCATGAAGTATGAAACTTTTCTTCCTGTGGTTGATACGTGGATTGTATAATTGACAAATCTTTATTATCAGGACACTGAAAATCTCATCATTGGAAGTGGAAAACTCGTAGAACTTAATGCTTTAAAACATGAAATTAAAGTTATTAAAAAATAATTTAGTGTCGATTTTTCAGAGCTAATGGAGCATATTAATTTGCTACAGTACCGCAGTTAAAATACATATGCATCAAAAACGGTTTACAAATCGATAAAGCGATTAAATAATGTTCATGAAAAACCATATATTCATTTTTTTATAAAGTCGATTCTGATTTTTGTATCAGTTGAAGTCAGTTGTTGCTTTCTCGCCTTACGAAGTTCTTCGTACGAAGAGAATGTTATGAAGTTGTGACCCGACAACCACGAATTTTCGGGAAAAAAACTGGTATTGCTAGTCGCTCGTAACGAGAAAGTCGATATCTCCTGTTGCTAAATTTAAAGAAAAAAATCTCGAACACGAATTGAAGCCAGAATCCATGTTTTGTGGGTCATTGATACCAAAAAATCGATTGACGGCAAAACGTATATCTGCCTGTGAACAATGCTGGGGCTAAACCGGTAGGCGATTTTCTTCGAAACTGTTATTCCAAAATGATCTGAATGAACTCGAGGCTTTGAGAGTTTCAAACGGATATTTTGATTTTCCATGGAACTTCACATCAAACCTCAAAACATTTTAAAAAAGTTCTCAGAAATGGCACCAAATTTTTTAATCTAACTTGGTCTTCGAATAGCCTAAAGAACGCTTAAGAGAAAAGTAGAGGTCTCATGTTTCTTGAAATTCCAGATTGAATATAAAAAACTAATATATATTCCTTAATTAAATATGTTTCTTCAAGACGTATCTTGAAATAAGTCCATGTTCAATTCTTCGAAAATATGAGTCTTTTCCATGTAACTTGGAGAAATATAGCATTTTTTCCTGAAAAACCGCTCCAACTTTTTTCCTATAAATTCTCTTCTTATATATAATTTTTTGTTATTCCTTTTTTTCTAAAATGCCAGAAAGTAAACTAATAACTACAGAATTGGAGATATGGTCGCTAATGTCCTTGAAGTTCATGCAACCAAAAAATAAAGATTATTAAAAAATTTGGAGATATGCATTTTTGCTTAAATAAAGTTAGTTGCAAAAAAAAGCTCTTTACAAAATTTCATGTAGAATTCTTTGAAAGAATGAGCTGATTTTCCTTAATTAATGGCCGAAGGGGTGTCCCCGAACTCGTACAGATGATAAAATGTTCCCCTAAATCAAAAGACATAAGAGTAAGTTACACTATAGCTCTAACATAATAACAGAAAAAATCCTTTGTACGCCTTCCTTCGGAGGGAAGTAAAGCCGGCTGTCCCATGTTAGTAGATTTACTTCCATGCAAAGATTTCATGATTGTAAGAAAATGGTAGAACATTAAATAGGATTCAAAACGAGGTTTCGAGGATAAGTTTCTTCCTAGTTACTAGTAATTCAGTTCAGTACAATATTTATCATTACAATGCAAGCAACACAAAAATCGAACTTAAAACTCTTGATTTAATGTAAAGAAATTTTAGCGAACTAGCGAATAGAACCAAAACACCAAATCAGGGGGGGACAGTTCTATCAAACCTTGCAAGCAATTCGATGGGCGTACGATTTCTGCGTTACCTTTCGTTCTGTAAATTTTCCTCTATTCTTGTCATTTATTTCCCTTCCTAAAGGCTTAGTTTTATACTACATGTAGGTATAATGTCCCCTTCACACGGCGACACTCTGCAGCGCATCCGAGTGACGCCTGCTAGTAAAGCATTGGTTTAAGAGGGTATATTCACTTTCACAGTGGTGGAATCGCGCTGCTGTGGCGCTCGGTGGCTGACTTCCGCCACTATCAGCGCAGAAAAACGTCCGCGCCACCGGTAGCAGGACACAATCTAAGGGCCCCTTCACACGTCGCCACCGTGGCGCGCTTCCGAACGCCGCGTCTCGAAGCAGAGCATTGGTTTGAATAGAGGCCTTTCCACCTGCGTCGGGCTCGCACCGCTGCGGCGTTCGACGCCGGACTCTCGCCACGAGAAGCGCACGAGGGTGTGCACGCCACTATTAGCAGACCACAGGTTTAAATGGTGGTATTTCCCCTGCGCCGCCGGTCGCGGCGTTTTACCTGCTGCGGTCTCTTTTTACGTCGTCACCGGAGGGTCGGCGAAACCTACTTCTGCAGAACCCACCCCCTTCCTATTTGGCGGCGGGGTGGCGGTAGCGTGCAGCGGCGGCGGAGAAGGATGAGACGGACTGTCGCTTATCGGAAGCACGCCGCTGTGGCGACGTGTGAAGGGGCCTCTAGAAACGTGGCGCCCTAAATGGCAGCCTTCACATTAGAGTGTTTGCTAGACACTTGCCTTCCGGCCGCCTAAGCCCACAGCGATGTGACTCCCGAAACCTTTCTCTCTCGTGGTCGGTAGCGGTTGGCGGCGGCTGTATCTGAAGGACTCTGCCGCTTCTCAGAGGTTCCATATGAAGGCACCCGTGTGAAGTTGATCACAAGCCACGAAATGGAAAAACTGCTTAACCTTGCCGTTGTTCCATTCAATTCTTCGATTGTTAACTAATTGTGTTTCTGTGCTCCGCGGTTTGTGCTGTGCTGTGCTGTGCTGTGCTGTGCTGTCCTGTGCTGCGCTGGGCTGGGCTGCTGTTCACAAGATTCAACGTATGTTCTATCATGTCCTCGCGACTTCAACCGCATGGAGGAGCAGGCCCTCCTCGAACAGCGCAAAGTGGTAAGTACACACACACACACACACACGTTTGCACAAAAATACACACACAAGTACACACACACAAAAATTGCACGTTTAATTTAAAATCTCATGTCCGGAAGTATAATTTTATACACAAAATACTATACAAATCTTATCATGTGTTATAAAAATCTTATCATTGCATTCTTCTTTTTCTTATCTATTGCAAGCGAGAAAATTTATAGTTCCATTTAAAAAATCAAAGATGATTAAATTTCTCGAAAATTAAAAGTATTTCAAATACTACCGGTACACCATTTCACTTGCCTCCCTGATTTCGTTTTTTTGAGCGAAAACTGTATTTCGGTATCGAGAACCGTTTAGAAGTTATGTGTGTGGTCCATAGTTGTGGGACTCCTGTATATGTAATTTCGTAGGAGGAAGGCCGGAGCCTCGTTATCAAACTTCGACACGCGAAGCAAAGCGTTAACATCGCCAAGTTACATTAGACATTGTGCTTAAAGGGCAGAGAAAGTGATTAACATTTGAAGAGAATTATTACTTCAGTCAAATCGCTCTTCTTAGTTATGGTAAATTACACATAAATATACTTCTTTTTATTCTTATTTTCCTTCTTCCTCTTTCACAGCCTTAAAATCTTCAATTTTAATGCTTTAATACGGAACTTACTTCCCTCGTCTTCATTGTTGCTTCGTCGCTTTTCCGACTTTAAATGGTCGCTCAACGCAAATGTGGCTACCTCGCCAATACTATCGCCCAAGGCAATATTAATGTTATTTACCTTTGTAGTAAATACAAATAATCATATAGACGTACTGATAAAAAACATGTTAGAGTTAAATAGCCGATTGGTTAAGATTATGCATACGTTACACTCAAGTAATATATAATTATGTGCGAGTTAGCTGTTTATTCACGTGAGATTCAGAGCGAGTAAATAAACAAACTACCCAAATTTGCCCTATTTTATCCACTTTTAAGTAAATAACTAATATCTACCTGTTTTTTTGGAAATATTGTTTGTACTTCATTTTTTCTTCGTTTACTTATTTGTAGTCTTTCACTAAGTCTCTTTCCCCATTTCCTTCTTTTATTTGCATCGCCACAATGTACTTCATACTATTTATCTTAATGTTTATATATCTTGTCGCAAAGTGTCTCACAGTATACGTATCTGTGCCGTAATGGTTGTCAGTTCCTTTCAAGTATCGACCATTCTTCTAAACTTTGTACATTTTCCTCATCCTTTCGCAGACTTCCATGTGATTAAGAATGTTTCATGTCCTCAAAACTCGATTGAAACGTCCTTAAGTCGCATTTGATTAAACTTTGTAGAAAATATAGTTGCAAATTTTACTTTCTCCTATACGCTGTGAAGAGGAAGTTATGTAATACTGCTGAAAATCTACTTCGATATTTTAACGTAAAGACACGTTTTGGGGTCCCCTGATACCAAAAAAGTGTTTTCTTTCAAAACGTCCGTCTGTCTGTCAGTCTGTGAACAACTCAACTCAAATGATTTCTTATTGCGTTTCTCAAGAATTCAATTGCTTTCAGCAAAAGTGACCTCAAATTTGCGTATTTTCAGAATCGTTCAAATCTTTTCTCAAATTTAGGTACAAGTTTCTCAATAAAAATTGAACATATTGGAGTACATGTCACTCCTCTATAATATTCTTATAGGGATATTTCAATTCAAAGAAAAATTGAAAAAATATATTTTAGGCGCCTGAGGCACCACATGTACGGCTATGTGCTTCTGATATACAAATGAGTTTAATTTCCAATAAGAATAAATAGTTTCTCTCCTTGCAAATGAGTTCAAATTGAAAATAAATTCGTTCGTTTCTCCTAAGAGGAATATTAGAAATTGTTTGGAAGTGAACAGTACATTAGGGCAAATGCTAAGAATCAAATAGAACAAATTCATACATTTTGTAGAAAATTGAAAGAACTTCATTTTATCTCCGATAAAATGAGCAGCAAGTGACTACGTAAGTCTCGAAATATACGTTTACATAGTAAAGAGAAAGTATTGTAATGTTGCGGCTGAAAACCGTGACTTTTCTACAGATGATATCGTATTGTCAGCCCCTGGTAACTAAAAAGTGGATAAATATTGTTTCTATGTGTAGTATCTTACTGCCTCTTAGCAAGTTAAGCAGTCGGAATCCAAATTTTGTGGGTTCTTGATACCAAAAAATCAATTGACTGCAAATCATGTGTGACTGTCTTAACGCCTCTCTCTCCGTGTTCAATGCTAGCACCTAAACCTTTCAGACTTAACAAAGTTTTGAATCAAACTTGGAATTTTGGTTTTCCTCAGACAGCGTAGGGAAAGCTTAATAAAACTGCGTCAGTCTCAAATATATGAATTTTCGAAAATTGCCAATGTTTTTGTCGACATCTTCCTACTACCTCAATATTGAAGCCAGAGATTTCCTCACTAATAGATCTGTTCTTCAAAGTCAAATGTTGAAATAAGTTTGTGAATAATTTTTCGATAATATTGATAATATTCGCGCAATTTTGCATGAAATATAGCCAATTTTTAAACTATTTTCTCAAATACAGCTTCAATGTTTTTACCTTAAATTTTCTTCTCTTATGAATCAAAGGACGGTGAAAAAAGATACTGGTTCCATTTACGGTGAACTCTGTGTAATTTCGAAAATTGCAAAGAATTATCACTTCAGACATACAATGTTGAAGGAAGAGATGTTTTCTTGATATAAATGTTCTAAAAATTCAGATCGTTGAAAAAATTATGTAAAGTTTTTTGATAAAAGAGGGTCAATTTTTCTTTAAATTTTTCCTTGTTACTTTCAAAGGTCCTTAAAAAAATTGGTTCTACTGTCATTTTCGGCGGTTTGCTAACATCAAAGCAAATACTTCATTAATTAATGAAACCCGTAAAAAGAAATAATGTGGCGAGAACCTTCGTCCCTCCCCTCTTCTGTGGAGTCGCCGGGCGGCAGGGGCAGGCGGCTTGTTCACTCTTACCGACTGCGGCGTGCGGAGGGCGAATTCGCTTGTATTTGCGGCAACGTCTCGCATTTCCAAGTTGTTTGCGCTTCGTCAGTGGTCTAAGAGCGAATAGCGCGGCGGTGCGATGCGAGACGGCGGGATGCGAGGCGCTCGGGTCGCAGCAGTCTGCCCCTGCCCGCCCCCGTCCCCCCGCCCGCCCCCGCCCGCCCATCCGAACACCCACCCAACCGCCCGCCCGCCTGCCCCGACCGCCCCGCTCGCCCCCGCTCGCCCCCGCCCGCCCCCGCCCGCCCCCGCCCCGCCCCCGCCCGCCCACCGCCCCACCCGCGCGCCACCGCCCGCCACCGCCCGCCCACCCACCCGCCGCCACCGCCCGCCCGCCGCCCGCCACCGCCCGCCCACCCACCGCCCCCGCCCGTTCGCCCGCCCACATCGATTGTTTGTTGTCAATGTCTCATCACTACTTCCAACTCGCCCCCTTCTCTGTCATTAGCTTTGCACTTTAAGAAAGTACACTTAGCACATTAAATTTTAAAAAATCGCATTTATAACCAAGGCTATCGCTAATCGCTACAAAAAGAGAAATTTTGGACAGAGAAACTCTTGTTGCCGGGTTCTGGTAAGGAAACAGTGAATAAATCTTGATATTTTTCTTCTCTCACGTTGTTAAGTCACAATCCACGTTTTGTGGTTCCTTGATGCGGAAAAATCGATTGACGGCAAAACGTGTTGAGATCTGTTATTTAAATTCAGATTTTAAAATAAGGTCATATACAATTTTACAAAAATATGAGTATTTTTCGTGTAATTTTGCGTGCCACATACGCAGTTTTTAATATTTATTATCACAAAAACGGCAATTTTCATAAAAACGTTTTCTTTAAATTTTCTCATCGTATGTATCAAAGAACGGTAAAAAGTGGGGCTAGTCCCATTTCGGAAAACTGTTTCCGAAAATTGCAAAAGGGTAAGATTCTGAAACTACAAATTTCATGATGCATATTTTTTCTTAAACAAAAGCTATTGTAAAAATTCAGATTTTTCAAAAAGGTCATGTGCAAGTTTGCGAAAACGTGTAATTATCACTTAATTATCTGCTTGCATTTATTGCAAGTAATAAAAAAACATTTTCACAAAATCCATCCATTTTTTTTTCTTTTTTCCACGGATATAACAGAGAAAGCTTAAAATAATGGTGCATGTCTCATTTTCGTTGAAGTCTCTGAATTCTCAAAAAGTGCAAATTTAAAAATAATGCAAGAAAGAATATGCTGTTGAGCGTCAATAGTTTATTATTTGTATCTGTATTCTGCCATCGGGCAACATCTCTCCCCTCCCTCTCCCACTTTTCCTTCTTCCCTTTCTCTCTTCGCTCCTCTGTCTCCCTAATTTTCTCTCTCTGTTTTCATCTGTCTCCATTTCTCTCTCTTTCCCTGTCCCTCTCTCTGACTCTTTTCTATTTCTCTCTCTCTCTCTTTCTCTCCTCCCACTTGTGCGTGAAAGGGCCTCGCAGAAAGGGGCGGAACGTCTCACATCGTTAGAACTCTGGCTGCAACTCTGCACTTTTCGTCGATTTGTGGAGTAGGCTACTCTGTGGTGTTGCACACTTTTATAACTTCAATCGCGGACTCTAAAGGTAGCATTTTTCGTGAGACGAAGAAAAGGGAGCAGTTCACATGGTTACTGGAGGCCTCCTAGGTGATAATTATTCAAATACAGTAAATCATACTTAGAACTAACTCGACATAATTAGCATCAATCTTTGTGGGAAATCAGTCTTATTTTCAACTTATTTGCAGAACAGTAAATTTGAGCTACTATATATCTAATATCAGCAAGAGCGGGAGAAGAGCAGGGCGCTAAAAATCGTGGTTAAGTGACAAGTCTGGGAAATGAGAGACGGAATGGAATATTTTTCAGTTCACAATTTCAAGAACACTGGTCTCTGGGAATTATAGACTCGGTCGGAAGCAACTGGTCGTGATCCTCATACTAACTAATGCCCACTACAAGATTCTATTATAGTGACTCTCAACGTTGATTGTAGTGAACATAGTCTATTAATTTGTCTATTTTGTAGTATATTTATGTACTTAACCTGATAATATCCATTATCAATGTAAATATTGTTTTTATAGCCTGATGATAAAGACAATTAGTTCCTCTAAACTGTCGCAATAAAACCTATTACAGATTGATACAAAGTATTATTTTGTAAACACTACAATAGTTAAAATAAAGATCTGTTAAAAAAACTAAAGGGCCAAATAGAACAAGCATAGTAACATAGCAACATAGTAAATACATCTTTCAGGATACAAACTGCCTCAGAACCGCGAATTCATATTACACTAGGAGTTTGCACGCAGTGGTTCTCGAGAGTTATTTTTGTTCTTTTTAATGGTAAATAAAAGATATTGTAAGAGCCATGCTTCTAAGGGAATTGCTGCAGATCATAAACGATAATACTGAGTCACGCCGGTTGAGTACCAGCCAGCACTGCCATCTGAGCCAGCACTGCCACTCTTTCTGCAGTGGCTCTGACTAGGGATGCGACATTCATGTCTATGTCTTTTTGTCCACACATCGATATTTTAAACATCGATGTATGAACACCTATGTTTCATTCATAGCGATGTTCTGTGATCGATGTTTTTTTTATTCGTTTCCAATGTTTTGTTTCTGAATGAACTCTGTAGCCCGAGATGAATTATGTCATTGTATTTCCTCTTCATATTCATTTGAATATTCACATTGATATGCACATTCAGATATGGCCAACAAGTACGTTGTGGGCGTAGGGTTGGCACCTTCTTATCATACCCTAATTCGATGAATTCATTAACACTAACACTGTGAAATTAAATTTTATAGCACACGACCGCATACGATTTTACCTTCTTTTTCCTTGTCCTATCCTCACCTTATTCACGCACACTTCTGCTTACATTCACTACACCAATAAGAGTACAACACACGTGAGGAGACCAGTCGTTTGCTTAGAGCTCGTTCCTTATGAGACACTGCCCCCTTGGGGAGATACCTCAAGGTTTCTCAACCAGTCATTTCGCGCGTTGTTAAGGCTTCGAAATAGTTTTCTAGGCGTTTTGAGAAAGTAGCGAAGTAAAAAGGATGATTCGATGTGATGACTGCGTGTTGATGGAAATTTATAGTCTTCATCGATTAACAATTTGATTTCCTGGAACACAATAAGAACGTTGTCAGCACATATATGCGTCAGAATTTTCTTATAAGCTCTAAGTACTTGAAGAATAAGTTTAAATGTCACCTGATTTTGTTTATTTCTGTACTTTCTGTGTTTACAATTGCCACTTGTACGTACATATACTTGTTGTTTTTGTTACTATTAGCCAAATAAGGCAAGTATACGAGAAAGTAAAATTATTTAATTTCCATTCCATCACGAAATTAATTTTGCTCTCCACGAGGGAAAATGTCTTGGGATCTGAACTTGCACGTCCCCTTTAAGTTCTCATCGTTCTGCCTCCTGCTGCCTTTCGTAGAAGCGACTCCAGAGCAAATGAGCTTCTCTTCAGTAGACCTCATTTAGTCCACGGCAATGACCTCTTATCTTCCCGACCACCCATCGCAGTCACCCATTGTTGCCAACGTTTAAATGCATGCTCTTTGCTCAATACTTTCGTAAAAGACTAGCATATCTGGTTTTTAAGCCATTTCGTTTCTACCATTTGAGGAGGTGGATAAAGAACGGTAGAACAGTCGCCAACCAATGGCGGGGCTCTGCAGGGAATACAGCGCGGGCTTTATCCATCTTTGGTAAGACAAAGGATTACTGATTCTGTTGCTTCGGCGATTCAACCACGGTGTATGAAGTCGGTATATCTTTCGCCGTAGGATTCAACCATTACAGAGAGACTCAGGATTCGAAGAAATAAGTGTTTGTTTCCGCTCCCGCCATACAAGTTCGATCCCAAAGCCCCAGAGAACTTCAGATTTCGTCACAGTGTAAGATATTTCTTACACTGTAGATTTCGCTCTGCAGACGAGCAAAGTACCAGGCTACGGCCACAACAATAATTTCATGAACGTTTCAATTTACGTTAGTGTTACTAGGCGAAGCGAACGGAGCCTTCGTGGTTCGGTGTTAAAAGTGTTACAAGTTACAAGGTAAATGATAAAAGCAACTTAAAGTGTATGTAAGATTAAGATATACCTCAATAAACTGAAGTTTCCAGACTCAATTGCAGTTTTTAGTGCAACTTTTAGTGCCAAGTCGTTTTTAAACGATAAGGCGACTTACCGCGATAAAACTATTTTTTTCGCCGACGTAAATCCTCTCATATGTCTTAAGAAAAGACTCACTTCACGCACGCTTAACAGTTTGTTTCTTCATTTTTGTATTATGTCAGAAAATATTTAGTTATGAAATAAATATATTAATGAATTTTATTACAATACAAGATTTTAGAATAATCAAATGAGGTTTTTCGGCCGAGTTTGATAACCAGTTCAGTTTGAGATGTTACGATACGAATATCGTTCGACATGTTATCTACTTTGCAAAATCTCCAATATATTATCAAACTGAAATTTTTGTTTCAATAGAAACTATTATTACACCAAAGGTAAAGATGATTGTTGTTAATTGTCAGTCATGGAATATTAGAAAGCTTGCATTGCAATACTTTCTTTTAAGAAACTGATTGCAGTTGTTAATAGTGAACCATGAATCATTAGAATACTTACACTATGTGATCACAAGTATTCAGACACGTGATTGAAAATGACTTATCAGTCAATAAGGCTGGAATTCATTTGGGTGTTGGCCCACCCTTAGCCTTGATGACAGCTTCCACACTCGCCGGCATACTTTCAATCAGGTGCTGGAAGGTTTCTTGGGGAATGGCAGCCCATTCTTCACAGAGTGCTGCACTGACGAGAGATATCGATGTAGGTCAGTGAGGCCTGCCACGAACTCGGCGTTTCAAAACATCCCAAAGGTGATCGATAGGATGCAAGTTAGGACTCTGTGCAGGCCAGTACATTACAGGGATGTTATTGTCGTGTAACCACTCCGTCACAGGCCGCGCAGAATGAACGGGTGCTCTTTCGTGTTGAAAGATTCAATCGCCATCCCCGAATTGCTTTTCAACATAGAGAAGCAAGAAGGTATCTAAAACATCAACGTAGACGTGTGCCGTGATACTGCCACACAAAACAAGGGGTGCAAGTCCCCTCCATGAAAAACACGACCACACCGTAACACCATTTTGCACGTGTCCGGATACTTTTGATAACATAGTGTATGTTCTTAACCCCTTTTACGGAACCGATTGCAGTTGTTGATCACGTGTGCTCTAATAACCCATAATAAAACGAACGTCAGTTTCGTAAAGTTTGGCTTTGCCTAGATATGTATGTGTCTAAGTGTGTAAGTGTGTGCGTGTGCGGTGCTGCAGGAGCTGCGCCCCAACTTCCGCTCCATGTTCAGCGACCACCCGCGCTACCCGCGCCTCAAAATGTGCATGCGCTGCCCGGACCGCGGCGCCGCCGAGCTGCTCACCTGGGACACCACACACAGGTAGGCCAACCGCCCAAACCTCCCACAGGGCAGTTTGCCTGCCACCCGTTCGTCCCCGCACTGGTCGGTCGCGAGGCCCGAGGCTCTTAGTGGAGGAGGTAACGTCTGCTCGCACCCGAGTCTCTCGGCGGCACGCACGTCGTTAGCTTCAAGGTGGAGGCAGTGAGAAAGCGGTGCCCCATCGACCTTTGGGAAGGGTTGGGTGCTGGATTCGCCCAACATATACAAGTTCGACGGGGAGCATAAAGCCTCCTGTTAGGGTCCAAGATTCCGGCGGTACTCACGACAGCTTAAAGGTGGAGGCAGTCAGTAGACGGGTTGGGGGCTCAAAGCCCCCGGGCATTAGTCCGGGCGGCCCTCAGTTGGCTTCGGCATGACAGTGGCACAATACTCTGGACTGGCCCCCCTCCCAGTCTTAATTGCGGAGGTTCCTGCAACTGCGTTCCGGCGGGTTCCGGATACATGAATGTGTTATTGGCATCGGAAGGGGCGAGGACAAGGAGAAAGTCTAGGCGGGTTCGTAGGCTTCCGCGGCCGGAGTCAATGCATTCTTGGCTATCCGGGATGAGCCGCGTCTCGATCAATTGTGCTGACGTTTCGGCCATCTTGCTCTAGCCGTCTACTGAATATATACTGCTGAACAGCTCTGTATAGCAGTAGAGCTCTGAAGAAGGCAACAGCACGACGGCCGAAACGTCAGTAACATTGACCGAGACGCGGCTCATCCCGGATCGCCAAGAATGGAGAAAGCCTAGGTGTCCGCCCCGGGAGCAATCCTCCTGGGAACAAGTAATTGTTTGGAGTAGCAGCCAACGCAGGGTATATTGGAACCCATTCATATTCCCGTAAGTCGCGTACAAATGCTCTCTCTATTAAGCGGCCACCTGTTCTCGCAATCAGCGATCACATCATTTGTACATTAGCATGAATTATACGACCCCAACCTCTTCACAATTTGGCGGTTTTGAGCAACAACATTAAAAGAAGAGGAACATTGGTGGAAATTACTATTAATTCATTACCTTCCTGCACAGAGGTTCATTGTCGAATTACTGAGAACAGCTATAAGGAAAGTTGCGGATATTGCTGATCTCGCGGAGGATTATTTCCTATTTCTGATAACAATAAATGATTTGTATCCATGCCTGGAATTTCCGTATAATGTAAAATGCACATTCCTATCGGAAATGAAGTCTAGCAACGTGAAGAGATTATTAGTAGTATTAAAAAGGAAAGGGAGCAAAACAGTGGAACTGAGGGATTTTGAATAAGGATTGTTTACTGTGCATTGTTGCACACGTGCAAACCTTGCGATGTTTTGTAGCTTAAATGTAATTAAAAATGTGTTTACAAAAAAATATAGTTCACTTCATTACTAATAGGAAAATTATACCGGATTCTAGCTTTTCATATGCTCAAAACCACCATTAAGCAGCCACTGAATATTTCCAGTCAATGATCGGTTTAGTTGGGCCAAAGGACCCAGTCCATTTCATGTAAAACAGCTCACGCTATATGGAGACATCACTAGCTTGGGCAATGCCTTGTTGACAGCTTGGGTCCATTGCTTTATGGGATCTCCGCCTCACTCGAAACTTACCGCCAACGCTTGCCACCGAAATCTGACCAAGCCACGGTTTTTCAGCCGTTTAGGGTCCAATCAATATGAACACGAGCTCAGGAGAGGCGCTGTAGGCGATGTCGTACTGGTAGCAAGGGCACTCGAGTCGGTGTTCTGCTGCCTTAGCGCATTACAATAAAATTTCGTCGCACCTAATGGATACGTTCATCGTTCGGCCATAATCACTTCAAAAAACTTTTTACACGAATTATTTGAGTACAAATGAAAGGTCTGTTTGCGTAAGTGTATTTACGAATCGACATCCTATGAGTTTTGTCACCTCAGTGTACATACCAAGTTTTTGTACCTTCTAGAAAAACAATCTAAATGTGATATTAAATGAAAGAAATTGGATCCCCAAAAGAATTTTATGAACTGTTCGTCATTTGATATGTACGGACTTCTACCCATATCATGTTTCCATTCCTATCTTCCGAAAAATTTTCTTTTTTTTCTCATAAAAAATTCACTCGAAGTTGACTCATTGAAGGCACGGAACAGTGAAGTCAGCAAATCTACGTTGGAAATTGAGAAGCGACTTACGATATTTACTTCAGTGTTTTGATTAACGTATTCTATTATATAAGAACAGAAATCATTGTAGTTTCCAAAATTAATGATTCATTATAATATCCTAAACACTGTTGAAAAAGCAAATCCTCTCGACATTTCTGATTTTTTTCTTGAGTTTTACGAGGGTTGAAGCTTAAGATATGGCAACTATGTTTTGTGAGAATACAAGCACAGATGGAAAATGTGAAATATTCGCGTGTAAGGACAAGGTAATTTAAATTCGTGGACATTTAACGACACACCAAAATTGTGTTTCAGATATTTATTAAGGTCTTAGAAATGACAGTACTAATTTCACGTTCCAATGTATTTTAGCATATGCGAGTTCACAGCTTTCTAAAAGCATTATATACCCGTTCTATAGGTCAGATTAGGCAAATCTCGATCACCTTATGAGTCACATCGGTCACTGGTTGCTACGCGACTTCCCTGTAACTCTCCAGCCCATTTAGCGACTGTCCGGTATGGAAAGGCATTATTCACAAGAGCAGCTTCCACCTATTCCCTGTGACTGCCTTGGAGTATGAATGCTGCTTGAAACGGGTTACATTCATCTGGCACGGGGAAAGTCAGAAAACTGATTTCTCATTGCTCTCTGTGCTAATAGAGACAATCACAGAGCCATCATTTATTGTGAACACATATTAGTATTGCATTTCTTTAACATAAAAAATTGTGTGATCCTATAACATTTCTTTTGGAAAGAAATATTTACCATGACTTCTGCCCCAACCCTCGTATTTGCCAACCGAACAAATTCGTATAATTGTTTTCCGGTTTGTAAATTTATTTATTGCACACCAATCACGCGGCATCGTGCGACAAAAATTGTGTCGCAATTTTAAAACAGCCCTAAAATATCATGACTCCTACTTGACATTTTTTTTAGATTTCTGTTTTAACAACTTGGTCATATAGTGACCACTTTGATTGTTTTAACAGTCGGGGGCACTAAAGAGAACACGAACTCTCACTATCATCTTAGCCCGAAGTGGGACATGCCACTCTTTCAAGTCGAGGCAGCTACGGCCCTTCAGACCTCGGTTATACATTAGTATCTTGAGTTAAAACAATAATCTTTAAATTGAAATGTTTCTTCTAGGTTGCGGACAGCTAGTGACAAGACCATTTTACTCTCTTGTATAAGTAGTGTACAGAATGGATAGGAATTCTGCAGGGCACTAGTGGTTCTACAGTAGTACATTCTTTCTCGAATTAGTACTTTTCGCGCAAATTTCAATTATGTCATCGTTTTTATTATTATAGTGCAGTATATATTGGGCAACCATTACCGATGTTTCGAGAAGGTATATACTGCTTTAGCACCATTATTTTAAAATTAAGTTTATTATTGGCTTTCTATAAATCGTTTATCGTTCTGCCTCTTTCGTTTTTGTAGTTCTAAAAGGCATTGACGGGTGTTGCTCTGTATTGCATATTCATGAAGTGATATTGCGTGCGACGGGGACTGGATGGTTATACTACATGAGTGCGTCGGAGATCTCTCAAGGCGGGCTACGTCAGCAGATTGTTTGCTCCGGTTCGTGGGACCGCGAGCTGCATTGGATGGGGGCGGGGTGGGAAGGAGCGAGGGAGGGGCGGATTTCCGGAGGGGGGGTTGGCGCGAGCAGATTCGCTCGGGCGGAATCCACTTACTGCTCCGAAAGGAACGACGTCATCGCGGAGCCTCGAACGCAGTTCGGAGCTGAAATTCAAATGGAGCCAATGTACATTGACATTGGGTGGCAAAATGAGGTTAGTAAACGGGACTGGAGGCAGATTCACGAAAATCATTTTGCGCTACACCGCCAAAAATAAAATGTGTCTTCTGCGTAGAAAATTGATCACCCTTATTGCATATGTGCAGGCAGTTCTTTTTAAACTGTTTCTTTTTGTAAAATCATTTTTCTGAGGCGTACATTTCTTGTAGTTATTTAAGAATCGTTTAAGAAGGCACATACATATAAGTTCCGTTATATGAATGATAAACTACACTAATAAGGACCAAAAACTGAGACAGTCATGCGTATTGAAAGAAATAGATCTGAAACCAATCAGAATTCGGCACTCCGGTCGGCAACGACTATATAAAACGACCAAATCTGGCATTGTTGTTACATCAGTTACTATTGCTACAATGGCAGATTATCGCGATTTAAGTGTGTTTGAACGTGGTGTTATAGTCGGCGCAAGAGAGATAGAGCATAGCATCTCCGAGGTCGCGGTGAAATTTGAATTTTCCCGAGTGTACCATGAATATCGGGAATTCGGTAAAACATCAAACATCCGGCATCGCTGCGGCCGCAAAACGTTCGTGCAAGGACGGAACACACGACGTGTGAGGAGACTCATTACACGTGACAGAAGTGCAACCCTTCCGCAAATTGCTGCGGATTTCAATGCTGGGCCATCAACCAAGTATCATCGTGCGAACCATTCAACAAGAAATTATCGGTATGTGATTTCGGAGTCGAAGGTCCACTCGTGTACCCTTGATGACTGCACGACACAAAGCTTTACGCCTCGCCTAAGCCCGTCAACACCGACATTGGTCTGTTGATGACTGAAAACACGTTTCCTGGTCTGAGGAGTCTCGTTTTACAATGTTTCGAGCAGATAGACGTGTATGAGTATGGCAGCAACAATATGGGATGCCTTGCAATGTGCTCTGCACAAGATCAGATTCATATCTCCACCCCCTTGTACACTTACAAGTGTATGGACAGCCCTGCTGAATTTAAGGTGTCAATTATCTCCAACATTATTTCAGATATTAATAGAGCCCATGCCACGTCGTGTTCCGGCA